AGAGAGAGAGAGAGAGAGAGAGAGAGAGAGAGAGAGAGAGAGAGAGAGAGAGAGAGAGAAGAACAGAACCTGCAAGAAGAGCAGCCGCTAGATTTAAGCCACTAGGATACTCGCTGGAACAGACTCTCATAGTTCTTCATGCGCTGCAAGATAGGAAAAACTTGGTCATGAGAGAGAAAAAGATGATACAGAGAGGGGGTTGGGGGTGAGGGGAGGAGAGAGGGAGGGAGAGAGAGACAGAGCGAGAGAGAGAGAAGATTCTTAGCTCTCAATACATGCACACTAAAATCCCCAACAAAAAGGCACTTGTCAAGCACATATCACACAGGAGAATCATTTCCTTTGATGTTTGGCAGCCTGGCCTATTTAACAGAGACCACCCCATTAAACCACCAGCCCCCCGTTATTCCACCAACTTCATGCTCCTCCCAATGGTGGCAGTATAATAAGGTTTGACTGTAGTCTTCAAAAGCATCTGCTGCATTACAGTCTGGTTTTGCTGGCACGATTGTAAATGGAAAACAGTCAGCTACAGAATAGGTCCTCATTGCTGGCATGACAGAATGCAATTTGAGCCACTTTGAAAGTTCTGAGTTTGCATCTTTGTAAGTTCCTGTAAGGCCCTGCGATAGGATTCTCTAAAGAAAGCCATGATCGTATATGGTGAAATTTATCAACTAACAAGCATCAGCAGCATCACAGAACCAGGTACAAGTTGGGTCAGGCAGCAGGTTCGCTCGTTCAACTTCGCTAAAAAATATTAAACCGTGAAGTTTCGCTCTCTACTCAATCTCGTGTACCGAGCCACTAAACAGTCACTCAATTTTTGTTTTCTTTCAAACAAAGGTAACAACACAGAAGAGAGACAGAATACAAGAATCATGGCAACAACAGAGAGGAAACAAGCCATGAACCTAATAGCATGAACAAAACATGTGTTACTTCCCTTTACTCTTGCTTCTTAATGCAGCAGGTTATTGCCCTTCAAGTCCACTCCACAGAACCAGGGATCCCCCCCCCCTCACGCCACCCCCACACCCCAATCCATACTTCACCCCCAGCCTGTAGGTCCATTCTATGATTAGTTCAAAAGTACGGGATTTGGAAACTGTCAGGCACACACCCATCTCTTGTTACAAGGACAACATTCTCAAAAATAGAGCCACATGAATTTTTTTAACAGAAAATGGCACCCCCAAAAAAATGTTCATTGCCATTCCCCAATTATCAGATTAAACCATCTTTTGATATAGTTTCAACAAAGTTTCTTTACTACCTTCCAAATTTTTTATTGAAACATAACAAGTACCCTAATTATGGCTCTGCTAATTTCTGACGATCTCTTTTTTCTTTATCTCTTTATCTCTGAAGGAGGGTTTCCCTATCATGCTGGGGCCTTCTGGTACGAAACCTAAAAGAGACAAATATGTAATTAACTTGGATCTATAATCAAATCAAACAAACCTATTTTAATAGTTCTTAAAAGAATTAATATAATGTTGAAATTGTCATAAACGACTACGATTCCCAAGCTGCTGCCAGAGGCTCAAAAGCACAGCAGTTCCGACAGTGAGTCCCTGGGAGTGGCTCTCTGAAGATAAGAAATCAATTCACCCCAAACTTCTCAAAATGAATTGGGGACTTGTGGAAAGGCGATAAGGACATTAATACAGGTTTGAAAACCTACCTCAAACATCTCAATCGACACAATCCGGTCATAGCGGTTCCCTGTAGTGAAGGTGTTAGCATCAGCAGTAATGGCCTCCAGACGGTTGACCACTCCCATTTCCTCCGCCCTCCTAACAATGTGTGCACGTTGTGTGTTTGAGTTGGAGACGCATGTCACCTTGCACTTAGGGTACTTTTCAAGCACGTAAAGACCAAATGAACCCCAACCACAGCCAAGGTCCTGAAATATGATTAAAAACAAAAAAAATAAACAAATAATTACAGACAACTTGGATAACTTTAAAAAAACAAAACATGCAGAAAGAAACAAAAATACAAAAAGATGAGGTATGAAATGACCAAGGGGTATACACTTCAATAGCGTACTGATCCTCCATTGCAAAGACATTCTAAAATGAGGTAAACAAAATTACAAAAACTTGTTAGCACAAAATCATGATCAGATTTAAAGACAATTCAGCAAGTACCTTCCATTACTCTCTGTGATGCTTTCTATAGTTTATGAGTACAGCATGTAAACCAGAAAATAAACAACAGCCATCTCGTTTTAGTTTTGTTTCAGTTTCGGGAACTCCTTTATTTTCGATGTTATTACAAGGGGCATAACTTGTGAATTAAGGGAATTGAGTGAACTAAACAGAGTTGCTTAACTAGGATCATTACACTCTCCCACATACAGCCAAATATATAACAGCGAAAAGACGAATCCCCCCTCCCCAAAGAAGAACTGTTTTTGGCGACGGCCAAAAACTAACATTAAGTCGAAGTTGTTGTTAAAAAAAATTAGCTCTACTGCGAGCCACTGGGAGTGGCATGCTGGAGATAAGGAGTTTAAAAAAGCACCAAAATAATAACTAAAAATCAATCAATAAATAAAAATGTGATGAGAACGCACCATGACATCATGCCCATCTTCAACCTTCGCTCTCTCACAGTACTGCTGGAGGGTGAACTCTTCCGCTGGAATAAAAGATTAGCATCATAAAGTGACAGATCTAAAACAGACATCCATGGCCATGGCTCAGCATTCATTCATTCCTTTGCTCAGATGCATTTTTAAAAAAACAACCTTTATTACCCTGATCTTTCCCCATCACCCATCTGTCTCACCTTTCCAATAAAACTGCTCCGAGTCTACCCCTGCTTCTATAGTCTTCAATTTTACCACAGTGATAGCTAGATGTTCAAGGCCCTTTTATGTCTATTCAATCAAGTGTCCCACAAACTGCTTTTGTCTCTTCCTTATTGGAATATGAGATAAGGACACAAAAAACATCAGATTAAAACAACTTTGAAAATATCTCAATGATCCCGAGCTAGCTCGAGGGAAGAGAAGTATACAGTCATTTAGTGCTAGAATAAAGGAATTATATAGAAACATGGAATGGGAAAGAGAAAAAGAAAAGCACTATATATGTGACCTATCAACCAACCACCCTCATTCCCTCCACCCTACACCCGTTCAAAAACAACTAAGATGGATTTTATTTCAACCTTTGAGTCAATTTACATCTTACCTTCATCCAATGTTGTGCCAGGATTTGAGAAAATACATCCGCTGTACTTGAGTCGTTTTCCCAAAACCTACAAAATGCAAAATATGAATTACTTTAAGAACCATGCCAATTAACATAAGAAGTTGTATATAATAATACATGATACATTGCAAAAGGGTTTTGTACATATGACAGAAATGAAGATATTTAAACAAAAATAAGTCTTTACAAGTAGGCAAATGTTTCAGATCATCTGAATATTAATGTACACATATACATATCACTTAACTGTTAAAACTTAAATATTATTACACTGAGGATATAACACATTGTCTCAACAGTCACATTTCTCCAAAATTCAAAGACATGTAAAAATCATCACAGCAACATGGACCGAAACTCTTCCTACCGCGTACCGTAAGGAAGAACTCAGTCGGAACTTCATAGTGCTGCTCGTTGGCTTTGTCTGTGTCTGTTGCTATGGGTGACGTTCTGAGACGTTGTATGAACTTCTTTTTGAAGTTGTGCTGCTTCTCGATGTCCCCGCCACACTCAAGCTTGTGGATCCATGCGCTCATGTTCTGGCGAACACCTGGGGGGTGGAAGAGGCCCGCAGAGTGAGAACTGCATCAGAGATTATGAACTTTTTTGGTTCTATTTTCATTAATGGAAGTGTTTTTTCGCACCCATTTACTCAATTTAGATTATAAATATAGGAGGCGGGCTTCTGACCATGCCTGTTAGAGACAACCCATGCTGAGAGGGATTATCGGATACAACATCCCAGGAGAAGACCAAGATACTGGGTAAAAATTCACCTGACTCAGGAATCGAACTTGGGTCTCCCGCGTGCGACAGTAAAGCACTATAAACTACTAGGCCATAGACGCCAAAAATTTAAATGCATGTCCCCCAGCTAGTATCGGGCTAATATAGACTGAACCTAATTTTTTTAAAACAAATAACCCATTGCAAAAATATTAGAAACAACTTCTGCTTTCTCCAGCATTCGAATGGAAATTTTGCCCGTTCTTAATGAGAATTTCCATCCGGCAAAATTCCCCTATACATAAAAATAATATTTTTAATGTCTGGTAGTTACTCCCTTCTTGATTTACTTCATGCCATAAAAAGCGCATCTGTGAAAGAAAGTCCCACTAGGCCCTTAGTCTTGACAGTGCAAGCAACAATTTATGATCAGTGTAACCTGTTTTTGTTCTAGTTTATTTTTCTGCAGATTTGATTTATTTAAAAAAACTGTACCACCAATTTGATATCACCACATACAAGTTGACATTATATTTAAAAGTAAGGAAATTGGAGTTCGAATTGTTCAATTTAGGTTGGAAATGAGTCAATACAAAAACTCAAATCTGAAAAGTTTAGCTTCAGTAAATGTGAACTGTTGAAAGGCTCAGATGGTGAATCCAAGCTCCATCCAAGTAAAAAACAAACAAACAAAGAAACTAAAAGTGTCACTACTCGGTGCAATCAGGTGCTTGACATTTTTCAGTATAAATAGATCTTGAAAAACTCCACAGCGTACCATCTACAGTCAAACCCTGTACCGCCTACCTCAGGACGGGCATGAGCTTGGCGGTACAGTGGGGCTGGGGGCTCTCGTGGCCTAGAGGTTAAGGTGTTCGCCTCTCATACAAAGGTTCTCGGTTCGAATCTGGGTAGCAACGGAAAAATTTTCTTCTCTAAAATTGTCTCCTTCCACCTCCTTTCCTGCCCTCTAGCAATGACATTGACAATGTTCTGTCGTCTGCTTTCTTCTCCACTTGCTGCACCCACTCCCTCACCTCCTTTGCCCCCTCCTCTGGGCTCCTGACTCTTTCTGCAGGCCTTTCTACTGCTACTCTCTGGCTCCTCGTAACTGCTGTCTTTCAGTCACACCCCTGATCTTCAGCAAAGAAAGATTTACACCTAGCTTTCTAGGACAAGGGCAAAAAATCTCGGAAGACCCATGCAAGCTGCGCACGATATATAGATCCCTCGGGGGTCTAAAATTGATTTATGTGTAGGCTTTGGCCGTCACCTAGGCAAACTTCAAAATTTCCTACCGACAGAAAATGTTTATTGTGCCCCATGATGCGCTTATATGACTTTATTTATGCAGTTGCGAGCGCCGTAAAAAAATTTTTTTAAAACAAACAACGGGGCTAGAAGTACAACGAGGTTTTCATGTTCTCTAGATTACTGCATCATGCAGCAACGAGTGCTCAACGTCAGAGAAACTTGTTCACCAATCACTAGATATGAATTAACGAGTTATTTCCCTTCGATCTGTCACTGAGACTGGATCATTGAGTCCTCACTAAATAAAAGCCCCACGGGCATTAGTCAGCCTGTAGACATGAATTAATCAGTTATCTCCCTTTAATCTGTCACTTAGACTTCAGCGTGAGTCCCCATTAAACAAAAAATAAAAGCCCCACAACAAGCATTCGCCAGCCTGCAAGTTATGGGACTGTTGGCCGCACCAGATATTTTGTTAGGGGCCCTGATGGCAAAGTTCCTTTTATAGCTTCTCCAGCCAACTTAGAAATTTAATTCTTTTTTTTTAAATTGACCATGGTTTAAAAATAATTGCATTTTCATAGTTTTAAAAAGCAACAAATTTATATTTAATTCGGATTCACACGGGGAGCGAAAATTGATACTGAATTACAAAGCTATGTTTTATTTTAATATATATTTCCGAATCACACATTGTGAATTGTAGAGGATTTCTATCCAAATATTGCTTGAAATCTACAGGGCAAGGGCGGGGAGTTGGTGTCATGTGTGTACATCAATAGCTTGGACTTAACTGACCAGCTATGTTATAACGGCTCAAGGCCGTAACGTGACCTTTTTGGTAATAAAGGACAACTTCCGTTACTACTCATTCTCACTGAGGTCTTGTGTTTGTTTGTGAGCACGTTTTATAATTATTCGTCAAGCTATAAGCATAGCCAAGAACGTAACAGTTGGGATGGATCGGAGGGAGCAAAGAGGTGAAAAGCTTAAGTTTGATCTATAGCTCGCTGAGACATTGTGCGAGAAAGATTTTCAAGCAGCCACCGAGTGGATAGTGGATATTGTGCCATTGCACCATACCGCATAGATTTTATATACATACGTACATAGCCAAGACAGGTCCTGTACTCAGGTTAAAGTAGGATAGATGATTTCCAAACAATAATGATTTTAATAAAAATTCTCTTGACTCTAACCAACTGTTAGATAATCTAGATCTAGATCTAGATCTAGATCTAGATCTAGAATCTAAATCTAGAATCTAGATCTATATAATCTAGAAGTCTAGTCTGTTTTAATTTTAAGCACACA